AAAAGATATATAAGGAGTTGCGATCAGTAAAGTTAGGCCTTTTTCAGTGAGTTAGTGTTGTCGTGAAGAGCCCAGAGGAGCTAGTGTTATTTACTGTTATTGGAATCGTCAGCCGTGTGGAAGGCTACGTTGGGAAAAGTATAGTGGACGTTGACAAATTACAAGGATCACTGAAGGGAACTGTGAGTTGTGCAGTAGTGCACTGAGATCAGTATAGTCTTTTAATAGAGGGCTCTAAGTTAAGAAGATAGTTATCATATTGGTTATTGGTATTGCTCCGTAGTTATTACGTCAGTGAAAAGTAGTTGAGTTTCTATGAGTTGTATCTTTCTGGCAGTTGAGAAAATACCGTTACAGAAGTTACTAATGGTGGATATTGACAACCAAATATAACTTTTTCAACTGTAATTATCACACTAATGTTTTTTACTGAACATATTGATAACAGTGTTTTGCTAACCTCATCAGCTTCTTCTGCTGGGATCATGTCAAAAGGTAGGCTAATTAAAAAAAAGTTTGTTAATATTCAAGTAAATGCATCTAGCAGAAAGTCAAATCAAACTATGCATTTACCACAACATATAATCCTACACATTCGACATACCTTTTCAACACTGATAAAAGGGAAAACCCTCTTTTGGCAGGTTCACTTAAAATAAGAGGGAAATCTTACCTTAGGCAAAATTGAAAAGGTAATAAAAAGCAGCAAAACACAAAGAACTTCAACAAACCTGCCTTCATCTGTTGTATACATGCACCAGCTGTAAAATGTACTCTAAACCAGAAAACTCTGCACATGCAAGATAAAGTCTTCTTTTCAAGTTTAAATTTAAATTAAATGCAGATAATGTGGTAGCTATGCTCCCAATTAAACCTCTGTTGATGACCTAGTGTTGTACACATTTTATTTTTACTTTTTAAAATATTTTGACCTGGTTAATAGCTCATTTTTAATTAAACCACTTTTAGTTACCTTTGCTTCTTAAGATGTTCAGGACTTGGACTGAGAAAAGAGTACAGCTCTTCACTTAAGCACAGTTTCTCATCAGCTAGTAATGTCTTCCACAAAAGTAATTTATAAAAGAACAAACATTAACTTTGGTAAATGGGTTTGCAAGATTACTGTGAGCTACCTTAACCTTGAGAGTATTATCCTATACATTTTCTTAAACAAACCACCAGCTCATCTGTACAGAAAAATTGTATGGGAAAAAGGTTAAGCAACATGATTTTTTACCTGTAGGTATTCTTCCAATGCTTTCCTTGATCGTTCTAAAAACTCATCATCAATGGATTTGTACCATTTTTTGGATGGCACAGGCAGATCACGAGAAAGCCAAGAACAACACTAAAAAAAAAATGTTTCAGACTTAAATAAAAATCTTTAAATATTGTCATTATTGTAATTTTGCATCTACAGAATTTTGCATGAACTGGGAGTTACCAGACAAATTATTTCTTGGAGGGGTTCTCCCTATTTATTTCTATTACCATGCCATATCATTACCATGCATGCCATATCATTACCATGCATGCCATATCATTACCATGCATGCCATATCATTACCATGCATGCCATATCATTACCATGCATGCCATATCATTACCATGCTTGCCATATCATTACCATGCATGCCATATCATTACCATGCATGCCATATCATTACCATGCATGCCATATCATTACCATGCATGCCATATCATTACCATGCATGCCATATCATTACCATGCATGCCATATCATTACCATGCATGCCATATCATTACCATGCATGCCATATCATTACCATGCATGCCATATCATTACCATGCATGCCATATCATTACCATGCATGCCATATCATTACCATGCATGCCATATCATTACCATGCATGCC